CCAACTCACCTCACAGGGTTGTTGTTGTGGGGAACATAGGAGGAGGAAGGAGTATTAGGTACGTTCGCCGCCTTGAGTTATTTATAAAAATAATAAAGGCGGGATAAAAAAAAAAATCTAAAAATCGCATGAGAAGTGGTAGAAAGAAGAAATGCAGGGAAATATTTCTTTCTAGCCCTAATTGAGAATCTTGTGTAAATTGACTTCCTAAAGGGAAACAGTTGGCCTTCAGACCTTCTGGTATAGAGAGAGATTGGGGGTGGGGTAGTTAGGAGGGAAACATACAAGTCATCATTTTTACTATTTAAAGAGGGCTTGTATATGTATAAGGACTAGCCATTCAAAGAGAAGATAAAGTATTGCAGAATTGAAATTCATTTAATCCCAACTCCTATCTCCTGAAGATACCAAAGTGGAATATAATTACCACATCAGTGTCTGGGAATTCTCAAGCCTCCCCTTAAACAATTCCAATGTAAAAACAGCTATCTTAAATTACACTACCGGTCATTTCCCCTGCAAAGTAGCTTACGCTACTAGACAGTCTCCTGATCTTTAACCAAAATCTGCAAGTCCCTGTAATGGCCATCTCCTGATCTCTGGGTACCTTTCAATTTTTTTAAAGATATCTTCCCCAAATCATATTTGGGCTACACATTTCTGTGTGAACCAGTAACTGGTGTGGGCCCCCTGACCAGATCGTGAAACTGAAATGTGAAATTGAAGGCAACCCAGATCAGTGACTCATGCAGAGACAGAAAGGGAGGCTTTCTATTTGGATTTCAGGAGGAAAAATTTCATCTGATACTTCGTGGAGAGCAGTGTTTGTCAAGACTTGTGGAAGAGAGCGAGGTGTGCATCTGATCCTTTCTCCAAACCTTACGTACTGTAGCTCAGATATCCCAGCACCCCTATTTATAGCAAATCTTCAGCTTCATTGCATTCCTTTTATTACAGTGCTGTCTTCTTTGGTGCTTGTTGTTTCAAAACAACCTGAACATAGAAGACTGGGATGTAGCAATTTGAATGTTATAAAGGTGGAACATAAACAGTGTGCTTAGTTTGCTCTTGATCCTTACCAACATCCATGATTGCTTGGGTAAAATTGCTTTTTCATTCAGCTCTCTTTGCCTTCACTGGCCCTGCCCTCATTTGCCTTCACTGCTCATTCTTAATCTGGACTGTCCGGCCAACTGAGCTGATTTTCTGGGATGCTACGACCGCAACAGCATCGTAGATGCCTCTAAACAGAATCCTGTAGGGAGTTTTCACAAGTAGGTGTGCTAATTGAACTTGGGGGCAAAAATTATGGAAACATGGAGGTGAGAACCGACAGTGCCTGAGATGCACAAACCCCTATGCCCCTTAAAGATGAAGAAAACAAAACATTGGGTCAATGTTTGCAGAAGGGAGTGGGTTTTCTGTTTTTGGAAAGGGGAAGGGACTTATGTTGCTGCCTGCAAAGAGTTAATACAGAGGCAGGCAAGCTAACATTAGGGATATTCACTTATTCACTGCAGCACTGATTTCTTCCTCCTTTAAAGAAGGGAGTAATGGGTAATGTGGTGTTCCTGCAGCACTGCTCCATGGTCTCTGCAGCACAGGTTATTGGCTAGAAGTCACCGTGAAATCTTTTGGAGGGGCAGAAAAGCCGAAAGAAATGGGGAGTTTTATATCTCGCTCAGCCTCTTCCCCCTATTTTAAACTATTCGTACATATCTTGGGACAGAACCAGCTTTTTTTTTCTTGCACTCCCCTTCCCTTTTTGATTTCCGACTGCATTTTTGAAGCTTGGGTTCCTTTCGTTTAATAAAAACGTATGTCCAATGCCAGCAGAACAGCACAGCTCCTAGAAATATTACTGCTGCAAAGACTGGAATTGGCCCCTTTTGTTTCAATGAAGAACAGCATTTTGCCTCCTTTCTCATTTTTTTAAAGCCCAATATTCCACGTGGATCTTACCATGGCTCCTATCACTGTATAAATGAATAAAATGGTGCGTGTTTGCGGCCCATATTATATACTCTTTGTTTTTTTTAAGAGGGGGAGGTTCTGAATCGTTCAGGCAAGGGCTTTGGTTGTGTAGGAGGGGACAGTTGTAAATAAAGATAATTAAAAACAAGCGCAGCCCTCTACGCAATTACAAGAAAGAGAAACAAGGCTGTTAATTTCACCTCAGCGTTCATTTGCTTTCATTTGGTTTTATCTTTTGTAACAGTCTGCAAGTTGCCCAGTCAGGGGATATCGATCAAGCTCTAGGATCAAAGCAATGGGAGGAGGAAAAGAATTTACTTGCCTCACCCTGTTGTTTTTCTAAGGGAGCAAGAATAATTTTTCAAAATGGAGTCCCATGGAAATCATTACGGAAGTGAAAATGCATGCGATGGTGTTGTTTGGATTTTGCTGGGGGGAACTCATAAAGAAACATCATTCTTTGCATCTGTATTTGTGGGGAAGAGTCTTAGCAAACTTCAGAACTTAACTCCTGAATTTAATTAGATTTAAATTGCGTATACGGGTCCGTGGGAAGGAGGGAAATCATTACAGTTTAAGAACATGTGGTTGCAGCTCGTTTCTGGCTGCATGCCCGCAACACATTTAGCCTGGTTACTAGACCGATTTTCTGGATTCACATAATACATTGAAAATTAGCTGTTCTGGAGCTCATGGGTGCAGACAGTATGCTAAGACAGATCCGCACATATATATATTTAACGCTAACCAAGCAGAGCATGTATAAATGCATATGCTAGGTCTTTAACTGACTTGGTTTAGCATGTTGTGTGAACCCAGCGTCTGTGTCTTATAATATGTACAACATCTATATATGGCCTCCAAACATTTTGGATGTAGCTTCTGGAATTGTAACCCTTAGTGGAGAAAAGAGGACCAGTGTTAAATGCACAGAGAATAGTGACATTAACAGTACTTTATTGATTTAACTTAAATTATCTTGCTGTTCAATTCAGTTTGGTCCTGGCTCCATTCCCTTTTTCTTGACACCATCCATTGTTTGGAGTAGAGCTCCCAGCCTGCCCTCATTGGCCCTACATGCCCTTTTGCCTGGAAGAAGATTGTCCTCGTCTTATGGCTTTGTTATATATTTGTCAGCCACTCTTCCCCTTTAAGGCTAAGTGTGCCTTTTCAGTACTCCATGAATGTATGGGATATGCTGGCAGTGAGAAAAGGGTATGCTGCCTTAACGCAGGTTTTGACTAACACTGGTGATGTTACCTAGTTGGGTAATGAAATGTCTGCAAGCAAACAACCAAACTCAGAGAGCACCAAGAACTCCACCGTTCATCCCTGAGCTACAGGCATTCTCTTCTATTGGAAGGTTTTAGGTAGCTGTTTGTCAATAAATTCATAGAAAAGGAATGATCTGTAATTGCTGCTGACAGTGGAAGTCTCATGGCAACCCTGCAGGTTGTCACCAAGAGTGCGTTCCTGCCCCTGGAAGAACATCCCAACAGCAAGAATGAATTAGAGATAGGTTTGTGCTTTGAATTGCCATTCAGAGCCAAAAGGCTTCTAGCATTTCTACAGTCATCAAACAGCCCTTTAATCTGGTCCAGCTGGAGTTTCTCTAGCAGAGGCCCAATCTAGTGTTTTGTGATCGCCTTTCTTTTCTGTTTTTATTTCTGTAGAGGAGTTCTGAAATACCAAACTAACCTGAAGGAGCATCCCCCTGGATGTTTTAATCCCAACGTGACCATTGAAGAGGACAGCCCGTTTGCAGGTGGTTTCAAACAGCCCCTCACAGAAAGTGCCATAGAGCATTTCCCAGGACGACTGATGGAGCTAGAACCGCTTCTCCAAAGCAACTTTGTTTGTGCAGAGGAGCCAAAATTCCAAGCTGGTTTCCCTGAGGTTTGTATGAACATCTGTGTTGCATTGTGCTCCTGGCAATGATGCCTCTGCTACCAGTTGGCCCTTGTGGTGTGAAAGCACCAAATGTTCATAAATATTCCAATTTGACAGGGAACAAGCTGTTAAAATGTTTGTAGCTAAGCTTCTGGGAGGGAAGAGAGAGTTGTCATGTAGGCAGAGTTCCAAATTTAGACAGGTGTAGCTGTGGTGTAGAAGAGATCTGGTAAGAGATACGAAGCTAAGAAGGTGGAAGAAAGTGGGCAGGCAATCCAGGCACAAATCTAAAACTTCAGCATGATCTACCAACTTTAAAAAGCTAAACCATCAAATTAGAAGTGGAAGAAAATAATGTTAAAACTGGGGTTGGAGTTGGTACATTTAAAATCATTCAAAGGCTAAGCAGAACAAATGCATTTATTGCCGAGGTAACATTAAAAACGAAGAGGACATTTCTCTTTTTGAAATTTTAGTCAGGGTGCTGCCTCAGAGAAGACCCTGTCTTGCATTTCCCTCAATCAGCAAAGAACATCTTAAACTACAGGCAGATCCATATAGAAGGAGCCATTCTCACTTATATTTGGGTGCCAAATCATTTACCTTTTCATAAATAAGGCCAAACCTTTGGAATTCTGCCTAGAAACAAATTAGCAGCCAGTCCAGTTCATATAAAATTGGTGTTTTTAGCATGTGAGAGTCCAATCTAGTTCTCAGGTACAGTATCCAGACAGTCTTCAAGGGTCTTCACGTGCATAAGGCAGGAAACTAACTGGAAAGGAAATGATTAAGGTTCAGTGAGTTAGAAGCCATGAACTCAGCTCCTCTATTTGTTATTTATTGTTTGTGATGATGTTTTTCACTTGTTTTTATTCTCCTAGCTGCCCAGATTCATATGTTTGACATAGGCGGCCATATAAATTGAAATAAATACAAGTGTAGTAGTTGGAGTCAAATGTTGTTGCGTCCAGAAGTGTTCCTGAGATGCCTATGAAAATGAACTGGACAGCTATTTTTTTTAATTAATACAAATAAGGGGTCATCCTTTATTTTAAAAGAATGGTTATTAATTACTATTAATTGTGAAGGAATGCTTTCTTAAAAGCACTGCCAGTAGCTATGATGGTGTAATGATTGGACTACTACAAGAAGACTAAGAATCAGATTCAAATGCATATTCAGACATAAAGGTTTACTGAGGGACCTTGGGCCCGCCGGTCTCTTTCATCCTATCTTAAAGTGCTGTATGGATACAAATGGGGAAGGACTATGCAGATGAGCTTAAAGGAAATGGACAGATTATCACCTACATCAGTAGGTAAAATCCATATGTCCCTGACCAACCCACTTCTGTTGTTTCCACAAGCATTCCTTATATATTTATCCATAAGTACTTTAAACAGCCAAGGGGAATCACTCATCCTGTGTTACTTCTTCTAAGTTTTGAACCAGTAGCTAAGCAATTCATTGATTCTCATATATGCATTATTTCCATTATATGCTGGAATTCTGGGAGTTGAAGTCCACACATCTTAAAGTTATCAAGTTTGAGAAACACTGATGTAAATCAACAAATGTAAACTAGTTCATAATCAGATCTTTACCCTTTCAACCAAAATTCTACTAAACACCTCCCCAGGCACACAACAAATTAATCTCTGTAGTTGTTGCATTTACTTTTCCTTCCTTTCTTTTTATAAATGGGAACAATAATGGCATTCTTCCAATGGTCAGGCACAGATGCAGTCTTCACACACATGTTAAATATGTTGCACAGCTTCTGCCTAAAGAAACCACATCCATATTTTAACTTTTCTCCAAACAAACCACATACATATTTAATATTTCTCCAGTTATGTTTCCACACCTGCAGTGTTACCATTTTTCAAAATTCTCATAGCATTTATGACTTTCTTTTTCTTGGATGCTAACAAAATCATTTTTTTCTCTAGCATATCACTATCATTCCAATACAAACCTCTAAAAATACTCATTCCAGAATTTCCTTGCTTCAGTTTCATCCCAAATCATGTCATCTTTTTTATTTTTAATTTTAGTCATTCTGCTGAAGTTTCTTGTTTAGTCTTTAGACTTCAAAATAAAATGGTTTGCCTTCCATTCTTACCAGCCTTGTATATTCTTTGACTCTTTGATCGCAAAAACAAGCATGCTTTTAAATTTTTGTTCATTTTTTGCTATATCTACATATAAATAGATTTATCTTTAAATCACATATTTAAAAGGGACAGAACTTTTTCTAGAAAAAGTTATTTTCCAACTTTTTTTGTTAGAAAATTATTATTTTTCTAACAATTCTCATTTGTTCTTTGATCTCCAAATAGCCCAATCACTTTTTCTGTATTCTCTCATCTTGTTGCCATCCAGCCATCCATCCAGCCAGCCAGCCATCCATCCATCCATGTTAAATGGCAGAATATTTATATTTCTCCCTGGAGCACATTAATTCAGAATGTTGCAGAAATTCAGCATTTTCTCCAAGCTCATTTCCAGATAATTCATTACTATAATCCAACAGAGCATAATATGCAAGTATGTAATGAACTATAGGAATAACCTTGAGGAACAGGAAGAAAAGTCTCAACCAAGATAATGTTCAGGTAAAAGAGATTTGAGTCCAACGTAGAAATGTAATTTGAGAAAGCATCTCAGACTTGACCCTCTCTAGTTATCATGAAGATAAAGGGAGAGAAGGGGAAGGGTATTCAGATTTGCAAGATTCTGCTCCTGTAACCTTACAATAAAAGTACTACTAGCATTTGTAACTTTGATCTCCTAGTCTAGTCTACCATGAAGGGCCGACAAAGTATCACCAACCCTTGCATTCCTATTTTCATATGCACCTATAACAATCTAGTTGACTGCAAGTCATATTTTCTGCCATTACTTTACCCCTTTAATTCGTAAGGAAATCTACACCTTGACTTCATCAAGATCAGACCACCATCACTCAGATCAATTACATCCTTCACTTTGGTCATCACCAGATGGGCCCAAAGTTATTGAACTCCACTACTCACTATGGTTGTGGTCAATAAAAGCTTTTGCATTGAGAAGATGCAGACCAGGTTACCAGTCTTATTTGTGGCGTTGCCATATCAGTATTCCCTGCTGTAGGGTAGGGACTGCACTGGTCAGTTTGGGTACATTTTGTCCACTCTATCACAAGTGCAATCAGAGTCTAATTTTACTCAAGCATGTTTATGCTATTCTATGCAGGCTAGGATCTCTAATCTAGAGATTACCTTGAAAGCCAACATTTTTGATTATCTGCCATCGAGTCTTAGTGATCACACAGATAAATCTTTTCAGATGATCTGTCCCCAGGTCTTCCAATGATGCACTCATTGCCACTGTAATTGAGTCCCTCTACCTTGCTGATGGTTATCCTCTTCTTCACTTTCTTCCACCTTTCCCAGCATTAGAGCCTTCCCCAGAGAGCTAGGTCTTTGCATAATGTGTACAAGTAGGATCATTTGAGCCAGGTCATTTGGGTCTTGAGTAAAAACTCTTGCTTGATTTGTTTGACGATCCATTTGTTGGCTTTCTTGGCTGTTCACGGTATTCTCAAGAGTCTTCCCAGCACTAAAGTTCAAAAGGGTCAATATTCTTTTTATCCTGCTTCTTCAAAGTCCAATTTTTGAGTGTCACAGGGAAAACCATTGCCTACACGATTGTGATATATAGACACAGAACAGCCCCTGAATATCTTTTCCACGGCTCCTCTACCAAATCCCACCAACTAGGATTTACATGCAGTAAATATACTTCAAGTGTATGCACTCAAGATGTATAAAGAAAGTAAAAGAAATAAACCATTAATAAACAAAGATTGCTGCACTTATCTGACAGTCTTAGCATGGAGTAGCCAGTGGAGGGCATGAGCTGCTAATGTATAATGAATTGAAAACTGCAAACCCAGGTTTGCAACTAAGTATACCTTTGACAAGGAGCTGCTCTCTGCTAAATGTTGAGCGTTACCTAATACAGCTGTCTCAAATTTGTCATATCAATTGTATTTGTAGGTGTGCAGTTAAAAAAAACTCAGCTGGCTTCTGTTTTGAATCTAGCAGTAACCTCAAGAGGATATTAGCGCAAAATGGGTGCTTGGTTCACCAAACTGAACTGACTCTGATGAACAGCTATTATTCTCTAAGGCAGTGTGCTGGCTGGGGAATTCTGGGAGTTGAAGGCCAGACATCTTAAAGTTGCTAAGGTTCAGAAACACTGCCTGAAGGGATGGGATTTTATTTACTTTCTAAAATGTGCAAAGTGGGTGAAGTTGTGTTTACCTTTACCTTTTAAAAAATGTACTATACTTGCATTAGCACGGGGCTCTTGAAAAATAAGGTTTCTTCCCTGATGCTTCTTGGAAGGATGATAATTGCATAGATACCTGGGCATTCTAGAAAGTGCTTGGGAAATAAACTTCTCTTTTCAAAGAGTTTGGTGCCGGTATAAATGCAAGTTTTTCTTAAGTTAAAAGGTAGAGAAACTCAGTTGCTTAGTACTAGTCTATTGTCAGGCCTAGCCCAAGAACAACAGCGAAACAGTCCAGTTGAGTATAGTTCCTTTATTTGCTTACACCTTATAGACAGAATCTTGCCAAACTAAATCTATACTACAGCAACTAGTGGAGATACCCTGGGAGATTCTAGGGAGTGGCTATCTTGAACCTCTTACTCTTCCCACGTTCCTCTTGTAGGCTGTATTGCTTTTTGTCTCCTTTCCCCACCTGGAATGCCCCCCGTCCCTCCCAATAGCCTTGATCTCCCACATCACTTTCCTCCTCGTAGATACATTCCATCACATCTATGTTCCATTCCCCATCCATTCCTAGGTTCAGTTTATTAAATTTTTCTATGCTATTTTTAAATGAAAAAAAAATCAGTACGACAATTTGCTGGCTTGGAGGTCTATCCCCCAAAGTAGACAATGAAATGAGTAGATTAGCCCAATCCATGCATCCCTTGACATAGTATGAGGATGTACTTTATACTGAGATGAACTTGCCAACTAATTCTTGCTGGCAGGTTTTCCCAGAAAAAAAAAAAAGATTGTTTTTATTTCCCATCTTCAGACCTGGCTTTGGATCTCTGGACCATTATGCTTATATTGTGTGGAAAGGCTGTACCGCTTTATCTATAGCAGCTATAAACCTGTCACACTTACCGCAGCGATCAACCATCCATGTGATGTCCTTGAAATACAGATGATGAAGGAAGGCTTTAAAGCAAGACCTGGACAGGTGAGCTAATAATCAGTTGATATTCCAAATCTTCCTCATTTTAGGACTTGCAACTTATGTTCATCTGCTCTGTTTTCAGGGAGAATTTTAGATTTGCATTTGCAATTAAACACATTGGGACAAAACTAGGGAGAGTTGGATGTTATACATCTTTTGGAAAAAGGATGAGAAAGCCAGGTTCTGGTCCCATGTCCTTGCAGAAAGTAAGCTGCTTGGTGAGGATGTGTTGTGCTTTGCAGCACTTCTTGGATTGACCAGGAACCCCAGTAGTATTAGACACATGCTCAGTTCAATAAGTGGTACAAGTGAGCTCCATGCTATGGTAAATGTACAAGTTGTTTTTTTTCTGTGAAAAGAGACAGTCCTGTCAACTTCATGGTTTTAAAAGTGAGTTGGATTTTTGAAGAGAAAGACAAACGCTAGCTGGACTTTGTTCCTGCAAGCATTCATCCTATTATGGTTTTGCTAACGGTGAGAGAACAAGTCTACTCCCACTAGCACCTATAGCGGAATTCTTATGTCCCTAGTCAGGGCTGGGAATAGAACTAGCACAATACAGTTAAATCAGTCAGCTACTAATCCGGTCATAGCTCCATACTATTGTAGGTAACTGAATTAAGGGTTGTCATTTCAAGAAATTCATAGCTCCTAAGTGCCTCATGAATCTTCGAAGAGAGTTTTTCAGAGCTGTAGAACATGCAGCAGGATTTCCAAGATGCCTTTAGGAATTGACCAGATCTGTAATGGCAAAAAGAGTCTGTCTGCCAGATATGGTGGCTCCAAGCTGTTTAGAGCCTTGTATATTATAAGCAAAAACTTGAACTTGGCTGGGTTGCTGTTTGGAAGTCACTACAGTTGTTTCAACAAAGGTGTAATGTGTAGCCAGCTGGCTGCTCCACTCAGCAACCTGGCTGTCTGTATTCTGCACCAGCTGGAGTTTCCAGATCCAGCACAAATATAACTCCACACAGTTCATAGTATAGTAATATCATATGCATTAACTTTCCAGTGGTGTGAGCAGCCCTACATTAGGAGTAGCATCCCCAAATGACTTTTGCTATCCTTTTCTTTCTTTCTTTTTCATTTTCTTTGGCTGATATATTTCAGTATGTCATTCTGCACTGTCCAAGTGTGTCATCTGTGGAAAGCCATCCCTTCACTCTAACAATGGTAAGGATTTTATTTTTTGTTTTATATTATCAGCTGGTGTTTGGTTTGCTTGCTTGCTCTGGAGATGTAAATGAACAGTATTTACTTTGGATGGATGGATGGATGGATGGATGGATGGATGGATGGATGGATGGATAGATAGATAGATAGATAGATAGATAGATAGATAGATAGATAGATAGATAGATAGATTATGGGGATGGAGAATCTGTGTTCAAAGGGTTTCATGAAAACTTTGCAAGATGAGGTGCTACCATGAAATGTGCTGGCTAACAGCTTGGCTGGATTCAAAAAAGGGTTGGACCAATTCATGGAAGTTATCGGGATGAATGGCTGTTTGCCTGGATGGCATCTGAAGGCCATCTGCTTGGAGACTCGTGGGCTTCCTTGTGCAATTGATTGGCCACTGTGAGAACAGACTGCTGGACTAAATGGGCCAGGGATCTGATCCAGCAGGGCACTGCTTATGTTCTTATGCTGAATATTTCACAGATACAACTAAGACTGACAACCTAGCGTACATCTTCTGTATCTTATTATAAAGCATCATGTAGTTACTTTGACAGGGGAAATGAAGTGAACATTTGCAACATTATACAGTACATAAATAGTAAAATTTATACCAAGTGGATGAATGTGTGTACCTTGATAGAATGTTTATTAAGGATGGGAAAATGGATGGAGAAATCTTATACGCTCAAATGCTGGTAGAAGGATAGCAGGAACTATGTGGTCTGTTGCAAGGAACTATTGTTTGCTGAAAGAAGCAAACATGTCTATCAGTAAGAACAAACGACTGCCTACTTTGTAAAATAGAAATGATAGTTGAGGATATCAGGAGAAACACAAAAGTAAGCTGAATGAGGAATGGAGTAATTAAATGTGATTGGTAAAACAAGTAAATGTGTGCTGAATGAATATGGATTAAATGTGCAGTGAATACAAAAATGACTCACTGATTTTACAGGATCCAACCCTTTCATCAAAATGACAAAAATAGTGTACTGTCATGCTGCAAGCTCTGCTCCTTTTGTACATCCATGTGACATCACAATTCATATACAAATGGGATGGTGCTTATGTCACAATGGTGCAATGATGCTACTTGTCCCCTGTTTAACCCCCCTGCAGATGCCTCTGACCAATAAGAAAGAAATGTAGAGAGAACGAAATGGTTTAGTCATAGAGAGAAAATGAATGAAGACTGGATCACAAAACAGAAGTATAGTAAGGATGAATGGGTTGTGGGAAGGGCAAGACTGAGAAAGTTGCGACGGGATAGAATTGACAAGATCCTAAAAAGATAGAGGTGAGGAGATTGAAAGTTCAGGGAAGTACTTTCAGGCTAGATTTTATGAGTATTTTCCGGATGATAAAATGCTGGCCACATGTGGAATAAAGTAGCTTCATAAAGTGTATGGTCCTTTTCATTGAAGGTCTTTGAATAAAGGCCAGAGAGTCATCTGCCTGAAATGCTTGATCAGATCTTGCACTAAGTTTAGGGTTGGACCAGAGGACCTCTTATGCCTTTGGTTCACTGTTTCCTACTCCTTTTCTGACTTCTGCACAACATTTTTTTTTACCCCAAAAGAGAACAAAATGATAGTTATATGAGTATATCTGTATATAGAATTAAAACAGTATTTCCATTTGCAGTCTTTCAAAATGGGATGCATACATTAAAGACAGATATTGGTCAGAAGAACAAGAATCCATCTGAAGACAGGAGATAAAAAAGCAGATTTTCATCTTAAAGAGAAAAGATATTGCAGAGAGATAAGAATTCTGTAAAACTCATTTGAGTTGGGGGAAGGCTTGGAGGAAGCAACTGCATGGGGGAACAGGGAGTATTTTAGATACTTTGGTCTCAAGACATGTAGAGCTTCAAAAGTCATAATGAACAGAAAGTAAGATAAATCTCCTTTGAATCACTCGTGAGTCTTGGTGAGTACAGGTAGACCTCCCTTATCAGCTGGCTGCCTTGTGCAGCAACCATTCGAAGTTACGACGATGCTGAAAAAAATAATTTTGCGGCTGTGCATATTTACAACCTTCACAGCATCTCTCTCTCTCAGTCACATGTTCACCATTACAGTCAATCTGTACACATTATTCTGCGCCTGACCCTTCCCCCCCCCCGCCCCTTTGCAGAGCAGAGAGATTGGAGAGGTATGGATTAGAAGACAGTAAGTAGGCATACAATGGGGAATACACATTGAAAGGAATGCACTAACGGTGGCTGCCTAGCACACTTGGGGCTGGGAACCTTGGGTGTGCTGGGCAAGCAGTCAGCACTAGCACATTCCTTTCGATGTGTTTTCCCCATTGTGTGCCTGTTTACTCTCTTGTAATCCCTTCCTCTCCAATGAATGTAAATACAAACATTAATTCCCTTCTTGCTAATTATCCCAGCACTAGGGTGAGCATTCCAAAGGGCAGGGGAGTGGGGAAAAAGGAAAGCAGAATTGGGGTCACGTGATTTCCCACTTAGCAACCTTGTCACTTAGCGACTGAGTTGCTGGTCCCAATTGTGGTCTCTAAATGAAGACTGCCTGTATAGAGAGGCATCCAAGTTGTTTTCTTGGCAACAATACAGACATGATTTGCTGTTGCCTTCTTCTTGGAGGCTTCTGACTTCCGAGGCTAGCCTATCTGTCATTTGCTGGCGGTCTCCCATTCAAGCACTAACTACGATGTACCCTGCTAAGATTCTTTTTTAAGGTGAGCCCAAGTCGTCAAGTACCTAAAAGCAAATGGAATGCACAGAAGACAGTTGCCAGTGCTGGAATTAGCTCATCAGTGTTAGGTATCAGCCACCTTCCTAGGAGCTGTGACTTCTGATTTGTTATAAGCTGAAGCTGCTACCTTAAGCAGCATTTTTGGTTCTTCCCCATATCTACCGGCCTGAAAATTTATATCAGTCTGCATGGGAGTCTCTTCTGTGTCTGCTGAGAAAGGTCTGGGGACATGGAAGAGGGTATCTCCCTATCTTGGTACTTCACCTTTGGAATGATCTCCTTCCAGAAACCAGGTGGGGCCAGCATTATTTGCTTTCTCATGCCAGAGGAAGATCTAGCCTCTTAAAATCCTGTCTATTCCAGAATTAAAAACCACAGTTTAGCCCTTCGCTGTTCTCTCTGATAACTTGCCTCTCTGCTGTGGCTTTTTGATCACTGCTGTTTTATTCTCTTTATTTTTAATTTCATGTTATTGTTTTATTTTGTTCTCTGAGATCCTTAGGACACAGATATGCTATAAATATTGAAAGAAATATTGAATTGATGGCCATTTCCATTTATGATGGCTCAGCCTCTCTACCTCTCATTGCTATAATTGGAACCCCAAATTGCAGGAAGTTTGAACCCCACCCCCAATTGGTCATTATGACTGTACTGTGTTCTTTTCTATTTCTAGTTTCTCCCAACATCTTAAATTAACAACGATGCCTGCTGCCTGATGGCAAAATTAGGTGTATTTTTACTTTTTTATGACATAAGGATCATGTGGTAGAAATTCCTAATTTTCTCTGTCCAAACTCCCCCCCCCCAGTTGCTGTTTTGTCTCAGGTTGGAATTTATCCCCACCATTTCTTTTCCACTGTAATATGAGGCTTGAGATTCTGATTTGAGAAGATTTTGACAATATTGCAACATCTCATACTTAATCTGCATTCTTTGGCATTGTTGGCACTGAGTTCCATCAGGTTTTTAAATTGTGTGATGCTGCATCAATCTTCAGCCACATTCTTCCCTCTTTTCCCCTCCCCTGGCCGCTCAGAAGCACTACTTGCATGCCACTCCTGATCCCAGCCTTCTCCAGTTTGGCAATTTCCAGATGTGTTGAAACGGAAGCTCCCAGAATTCCTAGCCAGCATTCCTTTCAGCTGATTGGGAATTCTGGGAGTTTCAGCCTCCACATAAAGAGAGGGTGCCAGCTTAGGGAAGGAAGCCTTATTTCAGCCTTCCCAATCAGGTTACACTCCAATGAATAGGCTTCATCTCCCAGAATTCTCAGTCACAGCATGGCTATATTTGCTGGGGAAAACTGGGAAATTCACATATCTGGGGGGCATCTTGCAAGCTAGACTGTAAAATTGAACAAAATCATTCAGTAGTAATTGAAAAGCAAGATAAGTTTGGGAAATCAACAGTGAGTCCAAGAGAACAAAGAACGCAAGTCTTGATCATTGGGTTTCTAGAAATCCACCCACAGATCCCACAGTTAAGTTTCAATTTATATCTCAAGACTCATCAGATGGTGCTTTTACCACCTCTTAGTTTGGTTACTCATCCCTCTTTTTGTTTTGATGCCCATAGCTCCAGATGTGGACCAAGTAGCTACAGTCTTGCCTGTTTGCCTGATTCCATCCTACCATTTGTTAACTTCAGCAGAACTTTGACCTGCAAATAAAAAACATTCCTGTCCCTCCATGTGCCCAAAGCTGTGGCTGCAAAGGGCAACCTTGTTCAGCCAGTGCCCTGTTTCGGAACCAGCTTTCATCTAGAGTCTGTCTGTTTCTGCCGCCTGTTTTCTCTGACTTGTCAAACATGCGGACGAGGGTTGTGTTTCCTCCTCGATAGCTGCCTTGCATGCTAAATCAAGTCACCCAGGAATTGGGGAGAATATAGTGGAAAATGGAAAGAAGGCTCTGAAAATCTGCCCGGCATTTCTGGAAGTACCTGCCTGCATTCCTGCTGATCATTTTTACAGAAATTGCAACTGGGTATATCTCTGGTAACATAGGGAATTAGCAGCGTGTGATATGTCTGTCTGTCTGTCTGTATACCTATTTTTTTAATTCCAAATTTATCTGTGTGTTTCTTTTCCTGTCTCTCTTTCTCTCGAGAAATTTATTGTTACTGATCATGATTCAAGCAAACAAGCATAGTTTATTCAGAAGGAGCATGAGACATTTCAAGCAGTTGGGACAAAGGCAATGATAGCTAAAGCTCAGTCCTGAGATCCAAAAAGGAGATGCCATACTATTAAATCCAGGGACC